TGATGTTTTTAACCTTTTCTATTCCCAGTGGGCAGGACGTAGGAAATTAAAGTGACGTAAACATCTTGAAGAATCTTTAAAAGTCATGAGACTTGGTAGCCCGGACAAGAAACAATTAGGAATAAATTTCAGGGAAATACCATCGTGGCACAACTCTGGTTCCCTTTTGTTAGTGAGCCCCAGTGCTTTCCTTTCCAACCCCAGGAACACATAGCATGGGTCCCTTTTAAGATTTCAGTTTCGCCTGCATCACAGAAATCCATGTTTCCTCAGCTTACGCACTGTAATTTGTGATTGCTATTTTTCTTATCTGCCAAGGAAGTACAGCAGCTCCCACTGGGGAAATACCACTTTAAGTTGATCCTAAAATAAGAAATCTGAGGGAAAGTTCACATCCTAATAACTTGTGCGAATCGAAATTCCCAATTACCTTTGAAATCATTTTGTAGGAGTAGCACATCAGCAACGTGCTACTGGACTTCTTCCAGAGAGTTATAAAACTGCAGCACTTTGTGTACCACTGAAGTATAACTACAGTTGGCAAGACCACACTTTTTCTTCTTCTTCTTTTTTTTTTTTTTTTTTTTTTTTTTTTTTTTTTTTTTCCTTAGAGACAGCGTCTCATTGTGTACTTCAGGCTGGCCTTGAACTCACTATGTAGCCCAGGCTGGCCTCCAACTCTCGGTGATCCTCCTGCCTCAGCCTCCTGAGTGCTGGGATTACAGGCAGGTGTCACTACACCTAGCAAGACCATGCTTTTTAATCCACCTGTTATAAAAATCCAGAAAGATCTAGCATGACTAAACAAACAAAAAAGCAAAACAAATTCTTACTTTGTTACTTTCACTGAAAATACAAGATTTATTACTCAGGAAGTATTCTAATAATTGCATATAATGAAAACGATCTCTCCTACTACTCTCGCTAGGTGTAATATTCCATCTTTTACTAACACAGACCCTGGCTAGACTTTGGAAGAACTCTAAGCATGTAATTCCAGAGACCTTGCCTGTCTAGGGCAGCAGCCACTGGTGTGTGGTCTTCACTCGGCCACCTCCTAAGTGCTCCACCCTGAGCTTCCTTGTCTGCTAGATAGGGAGGTGTTTACTGCGAGGCCCAAGAAGGATTTAGAGGCTGAGCCCTCGAAAATGTGTGCAGAATTATGTCTTTAAGGTATTCCATAAGCTTTTTGTCTCTTCCGAATGGAGCTAAACTAGAGAGAGGTCAAGGAACTCATTCCGGCCCCTCAAGTCCGCAGTCACACGCACACCCTCGTCTGGAAAGTGTCCAAGCCATGCTCTGAAAGGGCGGAGTTTCACAGCCCCGCTGCACTCTGTCCAGAAGACACACCAGGTTTCACAGGAGAGTTGGCTCCTAGCACCTGCTGATTTTCCTTTCAGATCTTTTGTATTCCTTTGTTTTGTTTGGTTTTGATTTTGCTGTTTTTTTTGGTACCGGGGATCACACTGAGGACCTTGCACTTGAGAGGCAGTTGCGGTGCCCCTGAGCTAAATGGCCCTTTGGTTTGGTTTTTTGAGACCAGGTCTCACTATGTAGTTCAGAGTGGCCTTGAACTCACTGCATAGCCCAGGCTGGCCTCCGCCTTGCAGCGATCCTCCTGCCTCAGCTCCCCGAGTCCTGGGATTACGGGTGTATACCATCCTGCCTGGCTGAGGATGGCTTGTTGGAAATGTATCTTACCTGTTTCTCTTTCTGTTGCTTTAGAAAGGTGTGCCACGATTCCTCAAGTATCTGCATAATTATTAGAAGCAAAAGCCAAGCAGAGTGTGGTTTTTGTCTTTTGACCTACTGAGACTTATTTTCTTCACAGTGGCTATCTGTTTTCAGTAATTTAAGATTTATAGGAACAAAACTGGGTTCCCTACCCACTCTGTAGTAAGACCCATCTGTTGAAATTATTTAGACATAGCTGTACCTGACCGCATGTCACCAGAGAGTTGGCCTGGTTCCTCCTAGGGTGATTGCCCTTCTAAGAGGCAAGGCCCTGTGTCCAATGGAGCAGACTTTTCGTTCACGTCCTTCCAAGGACACCCTGTTCTGGGACGAGCACACTTCCGCTAAGAGACACGTGGATGTTAGATCATGTCCTGCCAAGTAGACTGCTTGATATGTGAAGTAACCATATTATCTGCCAGACTCGGGAGTAAGAGAAATAGCCACAGTTGCTGGGCGTGGTGGTGCACACCTTCAATCCCAGAACTCAGGAGGCTGAGGCAGGATGATCTCTGGGAGTTCGAGGCCAGCCTCAGCTACATAGTGAGTCTCAGGATATGCTTTTTTCATGGAACGATGGCATCTGGTTGCTGCTCATCCCCAGCCCACCCCTGCATATCACCACCCCCAGTGATTCTGATCCTCAAGGTCTTCTCACAGCACTGAAGTGGTCACTGGACCCAATTTTGGTGCCTGTGTGGTATGGTCTCGGGAACAGAGCCTGTCTTCAAGGTGTCTGTAGTACTTCCTACCTCCCGGCCAATATTATGCAGGAAAATTGTGTTATTAAATTATATTATTAAAGGGGGTGAAGGGAGGGCAGCGGTAAGGGGAAAAAATGAGAATCAAGACTTGTCATGTGGAGGTACAAGATCCCAACAATGAATGTAACTGTACTGTATCCCTAAAATGTACCAATAAACTCAATTAAAACTGAAAAAGAAATTTAAAAAAATTATATTATTAAAATTCTATTCTTGAGATAGATTTTTACTTCCAGCCTGAGCTGCAAAGCCTGCTACGGAATCAAATTATTTGAAGGCTGTATGAGATCCATACAACTTTGAACATCCCTGATCTGAAAACTTGAAATCCGAAAGGCTCGCAAAACCAACTTTTGAAACACCCACACGACACTGCGAGTGGAGAATTAAGACAGGGGTCCTAAGGATGGTGTATAACCTCCCTTTCAGAAGGCACTGTAGAAACTCGAGTGTCCAGGCAGACTTGGAATGTGTCCAAAGCTGAGGTCTTAGTAACAACGCCAATGTGCAGTTTTAGCCAGGGAGTGAGAGCGATGTCGTGGGCACCAGTGGGGTTCCGAGAGGTGTCTCTTAAGTGGGGTCCATAATATTCCTTCGTCCTCCACGCTGCCCCACAGGAGGAATTGTCACTGTTGTCCTACTCTCCAGGTGTGAACTCTGTGAGATTTAGCGAAGTCACATAACTTTCAGAAAGATCATTCTGCAGACACAGGGTAAAAACCCAGATCTAAGCAGAGATCTGTTAGATGCTCAGCCCGGGGATGTTTTTCCAGGGCTCTTGAAGCAACACGGAAGAGTGACCAAGGGAGAGAGGAGGTGAATTAGTGCTCTCAAGGGCGCATCTGACGTACAGATGCCGCCAGGAAGGGCGTTGCAGGGATGCTGACAGGCGGGAAGGTGGTGGGGCGTGGCTTCGGACCAGTGACGATGTTAGTAGCCGAGAGGTGTCACATCCAGGCGGGAAGAGGGCAGCCGCACAGGCACAGGAGGAGGTAGTCAGGCCCGGGAGAGACAGACCCTGTGAGACCAGGCTGAGACACTGAGTTCGGAGGAGGGACACGAGGTTACTGTGCCTGCGCGTCATGGGATAGGAGGACAGACCGCAGGTGTCAGGTAAGCACAGATTCACAACTGCACGGTGCTGAGTGTGGCCGTGCGAGTACCGACTCCCCCGGCAGTGGATCGGGAATCTTCGAAAAGCAAGACGTGCGTGCATTTGTTCTGTTTCCTTGTTCTTTTTCTTTAAATGCTAAGTGCAGCCCCCTAGATGGCGTTTACATTGTGTCAAGTGTCGTGAATCACTTAGAGTTGATTTAAAAGGAGGGTGTGCATGGGTTATTTGGAAATGCTACACCTCGTCGTATGAGGGACTCATGTGTATCTGTGGAATTGGTGTCCTGGGGAGTCCTGGGCCCTGCTCCCTGTGGACACAGGATGACTGTGGACCTCCAAGGTTATATGTCACTTGGGAGAAATCCCATACCAGTAAGAACAGCTTGGCAGCTGCATGATCCTAAGCCCCTCTCCCTCTTCTGGTCTCAGCTTTCCTATATGCTGGATGACTTTGTTTAGACAAATGGATTTTGTTCCTTGTTGTCATTTGAGACAAGGTCTCCCTGGGTAGTCCAAACAGGCCTTGAACTCACTATGTAGCCCTGGCTGGCCTCGAACCTGCAGCAGTTCCCCTGCCTCAGCCTCTGAAGTGTTGGAGTACAGGTGTGCACCACCACGCCCAACTGTGCCTTTTCTTTCTTAATTTTCTAAGGCCATCTGTTCTTAACTTTCTTTGCTTGTGGAGTGGGACAACCTTGACCCATTTACAGATGTGGCAATTATATAGCAAAGGAAACAGTAGGAATTACTAAAGTGAGAAATGATACTTCCAGAAGTACGAAGGAAATGTTTAGATCTTAAGTCTGCAGGGCACAATTCCTGGCAATGACTTGGTAGAATATTTGAATATATCTAACCCTGGTTGGAAAGCAAGGCCCCACCAGCCTGCCTTGCACCCCAGTGTGGAGCAGCGTTTCGGATGCCATTGCGCGATTTAATAAAGCAAGGAAAATTGTCTTTAGAAGTTTTATATCTTCTTCGTTCAATTTTGATAATTTATATGTATCTAGGAATCTGTCCATTTCTTCTGTGTTTTCCATTTTATTGGAGTACAGGTTCTTGAAGTAGGTATTGATGATCCTCTGGATTTCTGCTAGATCTGTTGTGATTTTACCCTTTCCTTTCCTAATTGCATGGTTTTGAGTCTTTTCTTTCCCTTTTTTGATAAGGTTGGCTAAGAGTTTGTTGATTTTATTTATTCTTTCGAAAAACCAACTCTTCGACTCGTTGATTTTGTTGTTGTTGTTGTTTCATTCTCTTAGTCTCTCTTGCATTGATTTCTGCTCTGATCTTTATAATTCCCTCCTTGTATGAGCTTTGGGTTGGTCTTGCTCTTCTTTTTCCAGGAGCTTGAGGTTCAGCATTAGGTTGTTTATTTGAACTTGCTCTGTTTTCCTAGTGTGGGCATTCACTGCTATGAATTTCCCTCGTAGAACTGCTTTCACTGCGTCCCATAGTTTTCTGTACATTGTGCTGGCATTGCCATTTAATTGTGGAAACTGTCTAATTTGTTCTTTAATTTCCTCTGTGACCCATTGGTTTTCAGGAGAGTGTTATTCAATTCCCATGTGTTTGCGAAGCTCTTGCGGTTTCTTATGCTTTCGGCCTCTAATTTAATTGCCCTGTGATCTGATCATATACAGGGGATAACTTCACTTCCTTTGCATATATGTAAAAAAGTTCTATGAGCTAGTACATGGCCTGTTTTGGAGCATGACCCGTGTGACACTGAAACGTGAATGACCCAGTACTGAGCTCTAGATGAACCCCTGCCATTAATCCTCTCCTCCTGGGTCTCTTCTCCATCCCCTCATCCCCGACCCCTGTGACAGTTCAGAAGCTTGCTCTCACTTTTCAAGTCTAAATAGCCCCTTTCCATGTCCTGCCAGGCTGTGTATTAATTAATTGGTTCTTCATTTGGTTGACTTTCAGTGAAAAAGGAACCAAACTCAGGAATGGACTGACACTTAATGGAAGTCGTAGGATTTTCAAAAATACCCTTGGTAGCAAACTAAAACCCAGTTTGCATTCTAGTTTTTCAGTGTTTGTTCATTAAAAACCTGCCAAGAATGTTTTCTTTATGAAAAGAAACCGTATTTTCATATCGTGGAAGACAAATGATCTGGGAAAACAAAAATGTCCTTCTGAACCAGTGAAGCGATGCTGGTATAAAAGAAAAATCCCAAACCACAAAAAGCCATCCCAGATTTGGTAATGTTTCCCATTTGAGCACATGATCTCGCCTGTCCTCCGGCAGGCTCCTAGTTGCAAAATTCACCAAAATACCTTTGACTTCCTTATGGGCCACCCCACCCCCACAGCCCACATGCGGTGGGTGGAATTGAAAAGACCCTGAAGTGTGACAGTATAGCTTACTTCACATTTAATTGTGATGATTCTGCCCAAGCAAGTGGGGAACTAGAGGAAAGAGACTTAAATTTACAGCCACCCAATGCAGTCCTCCTCCCGGACCCTTCAAGCAGCGCCAGCTTATAACCTGAGCTTCCCAAGGAGGAAAAGCCATAGCTGTAGCACAGACTTGGGTCAGTGCTGGGAGGGCAGAGGTCGCTGCAGGAGCCTTGGTCCAGGCGCTCAGGGGAGCGCTGTCGGGATCAGAACTGCAGCCCAGTTGTGTATTTCATGCTTTGCATCGGGTTTCCAGTCGTCGTGGGTTGGGAGTTGCTGTGTCCTCTCTCCGTCACTGGGCCTCAGGCTTTGGCAGGTTATGTGTGACGTCCCTTTCGCTCTGGGGAAGACTTAAGAGTGTTTACGTGGGATTCAGAAAAATGCAGATTCTTGGAAATGACTCCTTGGCTCTTGGATAGAATCTAAAATGCTGGGCAAGACAACCGAGTATTCAAAAGCCGGATCTTAGTAGAAGCTGCGTAGATGTCCTGTCCTGAATTTTGAGTCCAGTAGTAGCACAGCTTAACAGAGTCGGTAGCCATCCTGGGAAAGAATTGAAGAAACAATGATTAATTTTTTTTTCTCTCCCTTAAGCTTTCATTCACTTTCAACCATTTTTTTCCCCAAATATGGACTACCACTGTATTATTTTATTTGTTAATCACTGTATTATTTTTAAAAAGCAACCAAGAAACTGCATATTGTGGTGCGTATCTCCAATCCCAACTACTAGGGAGACTGAGGCAGGAGGATGGCAAGTTCAAGTCCAGCCTAGGCAAATTAGTGAGACCCTGTCTCAAAATCAAAAATAAAAAAGGGCTTGGAGTGCAGGGTTGTAGTGGTGGATTGCCTTCCTAGTGTGTATGAGGGCGTGGATTCAAACCTCAGTACCACAGGTAAGTAAGGCACCAACTTACTATGGTATGTAGATGTTACCTTGACAGAGATTATGTTGTGACTTCAGTACAGAAAATGACTGCAAAGAATCAGGTGTTTCAACCCATCCACCATGCTGGCGGCTGCTGCTTTTGTCTGAGCTGTTCCTTCTGCCTCCCACAGCAGCACACTAACCCCTGATGCAGTCTTTGTGGGGACTGCTTGACCCCCGGGAGCCAGCAGTGTTGGGAGGCCGTGTCTGGCCAAGGAGGCCTGGGCCAGAAAACTAGCACTGTTTACAGATCATTTCCACATGAGGCCTCTGGGCCCTTAAAGAAGTCTACAGAACAGAATATGCACTCTGGGGGTCACTGCACTTTCTAGGGTTGAATTCAAGCAGCCTGAAATCACACATACACACACACACACACACACACACACACACACACACACACACACACACCCACACACACACACACCCTAAGACATTTTCTGTTGGCTTAGCTGTCACTTGTTTTACGGTGTGAGTCCCAGAGAAGAAACAGAGGAGCACAGCAGAGAACCAGGGTGGGCGGGAAGGGTCTTGGCACTGAGAAAGGCTTCAGACCCCTAGCCACAGGGTGGAGAGGCCCTTCGGGCAGAGTATAGGCCAGTTGACCTCCGTGTCACAAAGGAAATAGTAAATCCAAGGCTTTTCCAGCCAAGAGTGCCACCTGCCTCTGTCAGTGTGCCTCGGCCATCAAAGCAAATGAACTGAACAAGTGAGAATGAGTCTGTTTCTTTGTCTGAACCCAAGGCCTTCACTCTGAGCTACACCCCCAGCCCTTTTTATTTTCATTTTGAGACAGGGTCTTACTAGGTTGCCAGGCTGGTCTGAAACTTGCAGCCCACCTTCCTCAGCCTCCTACAGTGCTAAGATCACGGGTGTGATTCTTTATTACCTAAAGGGCACATGTGAAGCTCTTTTTTCCCTTGCAGAATATACGTACTGTAAGATCAAAACTGAAATAAGCAGTGTGGAGATCTGCTCTTGGAACCTTCTGTGTGGAACACTTATTTTGTGACATTTTCTTCTCTTTCATTTAGAAAATCATTTCACCCCTCAGTATCCCCTCCAATGGGGCGGGAGGTTTGAAAGGGACAATTAGAAGTCAGGATATTGAGATTAGTAACTCAACTGTTTTTTCAATTATCCTTGAGACTTGTGACATTTATCACTGAAAATGATTAATAATTAACTTCAGCCACAGAATGAAAGTTTGCGGTGCTCCACAGGGATGGGCTGGCTACGGCCGTGGGACCTCCACAGTTCCACAGCCTGGAGGTGGCCTGGACGCTGGCTGGGACCCCGCTGCTGCTGCTGATTTGCTCTGTTCACAGAGCAGGGTGGGGACCCAGGCCTGGCACTCGACGGGCAGGCGCTCACCTTACCACCGAGCTGCACTCCCGGATGCACCACCTCGGCCATTGTAGGTGCAGGGCATCGTTGCGCTCCAGGCGGGCACAGCTTTCCCCAGCCGTCGCTAGCCTGTGGTGACCTCTCTTCTCCTCAGTCTCTTTAAATTTGCCGCCTTCGGAGTTGGCTGTGTCAGCTTTCCCAAAGAACTGGACGATGAACGCTGGCATCCAAGCCGTCTGAATGCTGCCCGCCTGGGTACATGTGGGGAGGGCATTGCGGTCCTGCGGGGACGGCCGTGTCCCTGGCCCAGCCACCCCCAAGACGGGTGGGTGCCTTGGAAAGAGAGGGGGTCTACGTCTCTCGTGGTTTGGGCAGCCTCCGATGGGCTGCTGGAGTTGGCGAGGCGTCAGGTGGCAGGAACGTGTGGGAAAGGAGCAGTCCCATGTGACACTGGAAGCCAGAGAGACAGCGAGGGGCCGCCCCCTGTTATGTGACGTCCTGCTGGGGCCCTGGCCAGGGTCTCCAAGAGGCCCAGGTTGCTTCTGAGGGCTGGCCCTGGTGACCCCGCCCCCTCCCACTGGGCCTCACCACCTAAAGGACACCCGCTTGTCAAGGTCACTGCACTGGGGACCAGGGCTCCGAGCAGGGACCTTTGGGGACGAAGCACAGCATGGGAGGGATCTGTGGTTTGCTTTGGAAGGAGCTGCTGGTCTGTTTTCCTGTCCCGCCCCAGGTCTTGACCCTGCACATGTGGGTTCTGGTATCTGTGTCCTCTGCGACACTTTATGTACTTTACGATACCATCTTATCAAGGGTGACGGGGAATCCCATTTCTCTGCTGGCTGATGGTGCCCAAACTCTGTCCCTGTGCTCGCTGGCTGTCATTGGGTCTTCCTTAGAGAAAGATCTGCCCAGCCCTGTGCCATTTTCACTTGGGGGTTTTCCCTTTGCTTTTCTGGTGCTCCTCTCCCTCTGTGTAATCCCTCCCAGAAGCACTGTTTCACCGGAGCCAGGCAGAGGCTGTCTGTCATCAGCCTCCCATTGCCTCCTAGGTTCACTTCCGGCCGAATGCCTTTCCTGCTCTTGTCAGAACTCAGTAACCGAGCCAGGCATGATGATGCATACCTGTCCTCTCAGCACCAGGGAGGCTGAGGCAGGATGACCACTGTGAGTTCAAAGCCGGCCTGGGCTACATGGTGGGACCCTGTCTCAAAAACAAACAAATGCCAAACACAACCTCCGTACCCGGGAATTTGACTCCCTGCAAAAGAAAGTTTTCTGAATGCTCCAATACTGTGCATTTCCTTGTATTCTCTCCCATCTGACAAGTCAGCGAGCCCACGTGTATGGCAGGAGGCACTGAGACTCCCTCCGGGAAGCAACTACCTGTGCTCAGAAGGGTGAAGTTCTAGACTGGAAGAGGCCGCCTCTCCCTCCACTGGGAGCCACGGATTCCCAGGGCCTTGAGCTTTAGTGTTTGGGCTCCGAGAGTTTCAGTGCCTGCACAACTACATCAGTAATGATCTAAACAGTTATTATAAAGCCTGAATCTCACAATTAAGAACTTTTATGTGGGATAAAACTTTGGCATTTTTTTTTTTTTTTTTGCCAGAGCTCGAACTGAGGACCTTGCTCTTGAGGGGCAGGCAGTGGAACCACTGAGCTAAATCCCCAGCCCCTAAAACTTTGGTTTCTGACATCAGTTTTCCAAACCTGTGTTCACAGACCTCTTAGGGCGTCAGCAGCAGGTTGGTGGTAAGTGTGTAGGATTTTTTTTTCCTATTTAAAAGTAATCCCTATAGTTAGGTTTAAGAAAAACTGATCAAACCTAACTTTTTGCTTTGTACGTGTGTATGATTGAATCCAGAGCCTTTGTACAAAGCTACAGCCCCAGCCCTTTTAAAGTTTTTTCTGGTGTTTATTTGCTTTTTTGGTTTTTTGAGACAAAATCTTGCTATACAGTTTCCAACATGGAAAACCTTATATACTGAGAGTTTGGCAGTTATGACTATCCGGAGAAACACCTTTTCCAACTCTTTTGCCAGGGTCCAGCCCTATGAAAAGGGGCTGGATATGCAGTGTATACACTGTGATCACAGTGAAGTTTTATTTGCCCAGGCAGAGCAGGCACAGAGGATGGAAATCAGGGCCATGAGCCACCCCTCCAGCCCCTATCTTGCTGGAATTGAATGTCTAGTAAACTTAGTCACGTACAAAGCCCTTCCCATTTCTGTTTGTGTAAACTCTGTTTAATGTGTTAAGGCCTTTTTTTTTTTTTTTTTGGTCTTGGTAAATATTATAGGGTGAAATAAAATTTAAATTGAACTCAGATAGCTCTGAGTTGATGGCTCAGGAATTATTTTTTGAGAGTAGTTTCACTATGTAGTTCAGCCTGGCCTTGAACTCACTATGTAGCCCAGGCTGGCCTCCAACTGCTGGCGATCCTCCTGCCTCAGCCTCCTGAGTCCTGGGATTACAAGCATGTCCTGCCATGTCCAGTGACTCCGGAACTTTTAGTGACAGTTTCATTTTGCATAGCAAATAACATTGTATTGTACATATAAAAAATACTGAAGCTTATATCAGGAAACTCTCTGGAAGCTGCTTAATAAAATACAAATTGTTTTTTAACTGTCTTCCTCCCCCACCCCCAGCGTTTGTCTACTTCCCCTGAAGGTATAGGAATGACTGGTACTGAGCTAGGCCTGTTTCACCCAGGAGCACAAGCCTCAGCCCCGCCCCCGCCCCCACAGGCGTCCAAGGGACTTGTGGGCTGTGGGGTGGGCAGGGCACAGGGATCGATGCGATGCCAAGGTCACATGCAGGGACCAGGTCTGCACACGCGTGATCCAGCCTTGTGGCTCTTCGAGGCCACAGAGCAGAAACTGCTGTTTTAGCCTCTGAGTTCTGGCCTTTGAGGTCGAGAGGCCCAGTCAGTCGTTGGCACAGGCCCAGGCCGGGGCCTTGGGATCCCAACTGTTCTGAAAAGCTCCAAAGTGGCCTCCTGGTCCCTGAAAATCACTTGGGTCACTGCGATCATCATGACCCACAGGACGGAGGTGTCGCGCGTGGCAGCACTGGGGGTGGGGCCGACCAAGCTGCTCTGACCTCTACAATCCGCGATTAAGGCAAATGACTAAACCTAAGCTCAGCCAGTTGGCTTCCTCCTATCTTCCAGTGGTCACAACTTCCAGTGTCTGAAGAGTTTTCAAACCTTCATCAGTTATGGGGCCTTGTTTAATGTGCAGGGTTTTATATAATCCCACCTAGTGGGTGGGCGAGCCCCTCAGTGTTACTAATTTCATGAAAGTGTATAGTCCTTGAGCACTGCCCCTGCATACATGGCAGATTGTTCAACAACTACCTGGAAAATTAAGTCCAAATTAGTTTGAATTAAGCCATGAGCGTACAGGGGACTTTTCCAATGGTATAATGCCAAGTGTGTCTTTTAAGAAAATAAAATTCCAAAAAGAAAAGAAAAGAAAATTCCACTTAAAATGAAGTCGCAGGGAGCCTGTAATCGCAGCTACTTGGGAGGCTGAGACAGGAGGATCACTTGAGCCTACAAGTTCTGCCATGAGACCAGCCTGGGCAGGACCTGTGTCCAAAACACCCCAAACTAGTCTGAGCAGGGGATATGGGAGGAGCTCGGCAAGCAGGCATGAGGACCTGGGTTCCCAGCACCACAGGTGTGAGCCAGGAGACCGCGTTCAGCTCTTGCCGTGACCTTGTTCCCTGGCTAACCCGCTTCCCAACCATGTTCCAGCGCAGTGATTGGTTTGCCTTCGCCTGCCGTCCCCACACCATCTTATCCCCCCACCGTCCCCTTGCCCAGTGGCTGCAGCTTCCTGCCTGCGGTCCGTCAGTCCTGCCGCAGTGACGCGCTCTGCTGAGTGACACGGGTGAGAGGGGGCACAAGTGCACGGTCGCCGCCTTTCAGGACACCATGCTTGTGCTCACCAGGTGGCCCTTGCTAAAACCCCACGTCTTAGCCAGGCGTCGTGGCGCACACCCATGATCCCAGCATTCGGAAGACTGAAGCAGGAAGATTACCACGAGTGTGAGACCAGCCTGGACTGCATAATGAGTTCAAGGCCTGGCTGACCTCCATAGTGAGACCCTCTCTCAAAACAACAACAGCAAAAAATCAATAAATGTGTGAGTAAACGGAATAAATAAAATCCGTGTCTTTCACGTACCCTCTTATCCCTCTTCGACTCCTCCTCCTGACTCCCTGTGAACAAGCTTCTCATTTTCCCACTTATTTGGCAATTACCCAGGTGCTACCTTGTGACATCTCTTCTAATCATGGGCTAGAATGTTTATTCAAATCAGGAACCATTGCTCAACTTTTCACCTCTTTGTAGTTTGTTTCACTAGCAAGATTACAAATTCCTTGAGGGCAGACTTATACCTCTTTGTATTTCCCACAGTGTCCCATAAATGGCAGTTTATGTTTTTGTTTTCAAAAAGGGCTCTCAATATGTTGCCCAGGCTGCCCTTAAACTCCTGAGCTCTAGCATTCCTCCTGATTCAGCCTCCCGAGTGGCAGGTGGACACACTGCACCCGGCGTTTTTGGGACTAGGTTCATTCAACAGATGTTTGTTGGTTTGGGTTATGGATTTTAAGTTCATCTCTATATCCTAGGCCAGGTTGCTAGCTCCACGAGTCTCAGTTTTCAGTAAGATGGAAATAATTCCTATATCTCAGGATGAAGTAAATGGTATGTATGAAAAGATTGTTATAAATTCTTAAGGGCTATGTGTTATGAATTATTTTGTGCTTTGTGGTCAAAGTCATCTTGTTCCAAACCCCTCCAATAAACCCTTCCTGTACGACTTCCGCTCCACTTGTCACCTTTTCTGTCATCCTCCCGCCTGGCTCTGTGGAGTTACTTTGTTCGCTCTAAGCTTCCTTCTCGTTTCTCTGCTTCATCTCGGACACCTGTGTCTTGGTCCTGTCAGTGGCCCTGGCATGAGTGGGAACTATCACAGACTGGCTCTGCCTCCCAGACCAGGACGGGGGACCCAAATTACGATCCAAAGTAGGAGAGAGAAAAGTTGTTGTCAGTTTTCTTCCAAGTCAGTTCAGTCTGTTTTCAGAAGTTTCAGATCCATACAAAGGGCTTATGGTTAGGAATTGGTTGTCAGGGTGTTCTGTTGCTTGTGGTGGGGCTCCCCAGAGCGCGTTAGCATGGCCACCACCAAAGTTCTGGGAGACTTGGTAGTGACCCCAAAACACAGCTATTTCACTAGGAAGCCTCAGGATTCAGACTCCAAAAGCGCTAAGCATTAACTGGCTTGAATTATTCACCGTTTTTAGTGTTTCAGTTAACCGTATTCCACAAACCAAGCTTTATTTCACTGGCCTCTTTGAACTAAACTGGTTTTTAACTAAAATAACTGCTCTGTGAGAGTTGGGCTCCTGTGGGGTTAATGGCTCTCCCCTCTTGGAAGCCTTGGAATACATAATTTGACTATTGTTGTTGTTATTTATGTTGAAAGAGATGAAAATGAGATTGGTAATCCAGATGGGCATCACTTACTTCACATCTGGTCGCTTGAAAGGTGGCCAGA